TGGGGGGAGCCCGTGCGGGGTGTGCGCGCGCTCGGGCGGATGGGCCTGAGCTGTGACTGCTATGGGGGCTGAGCGTTAGACCTCAGTGCGCGCATAGCTGTCATGTTGCGGCGCCTGTGTGTGTGTATGTGTGTGTGTGTGTGTGTGTTTCTGTGTCTGTGTGTTCCCATTGCGTGTGCATGTGCCTGGGGGGGAGGTGAGTGCAGGGTGGACATTGCCGTGTTTGTGTCTAAGCACATGATAGTGGCGCTTATGTATGTGACTGGGGCTGCGGGGCTTCTGGGCCTGTGTGTGTGCATGTGTGTGTGTGCATGTGTGTGTGCATGCATGTGTGCGTGCCTGCTCACGTGTATAGGTATGTGGGAGTGGGGGCAGGCAGGTCGGGGGGAGGCTCTGCTGGACCTCCCACTTTGCCTCTGCAGCTGCTGGGCGCCTCACTGAGACTCTGGATAAAGGGACTCTAGAAGCCCTTAGCAGGCCCTGCCCACCCTGGGCACCAGGCTGCCCTCCTTGCATCCTGGCTCTCGGGAACCACCTCCTCCCTGTGCCACTGGCTGCCTGGGCTTGGAGGCCTGGAGGAGATCAGAGTGGCAGCAGGTTCATCTTGAGGTCAAGGGGTGCAGAGGTGGGATGGGGATTTATGCCTGTTGCAGAGATTTGGCAAATTGGAGGGAAGATGGATTAGACAGAGTGGGCTCAGAGCCCCTGCTCAGCCAGACAAGCGGCTCCATGAGTTTCACCAGGCCCTGCCTCCCAGTGGTCAGAGGGACCCTGGGACTCACCTTGGGGTGTGGAGCGCTGGGGCTTGTGTGTGGGCATGGTCAGTGCTCTCTGAGCTATGGGGATTGTGTCCAAACTGCCTTCCCCTTGTGGACGCTCAACTTCTGAGGTGACCCCAGCAGAGGGGCGGGGTGGGGTGGGAGGCCAGAGGCTGCCCCTCCATCTGGGGTCTTGCTTGCTGTCAGGTGACAGCTGGGCTAGGCCCTGAGATTCCTAGCCAGCCGACACCGAGGGGCAGCTCACAGGCTGGGTCCTGTTCTATGACCTTGTGCAAGTCCTGGCTTCTCCGACCTCCCTGTCTGCAGAGTCGGCCTTCCCCATCAGCTGTCCCTGGGAGCCCCCAGCCCTGCCCTTCAGAGGATGCCCCTTCACTGGCAGAATTGGGCTGGGCTCCCTCCTCGTCCCCTTCTTAGCTCTGGGCAGGAGGCGAGTTGTTTGTTGTCCCAACAGCTGCTCAGCCCCTGCCCCCAGCGGCACCGAGGTGCCCTCAGAGTGCAGTAGGAGAATCGGGGCAGGGCGGGAGTGCTACCCAAACATGTGTTCTGGGGCTGGATCTGGGAGGATTTGGGGGAGACAAAGTCTGGGGTGCCCCTGAAGTCTTGGGGAGCAGGGTATGTGTGTTGGGATGAGGGTAGGGGGAAGCTCTTCCTAGATCTCCTCCCAGATTCGCAGACATTTGCTTCCTGGGTAGATATGAGTGAGCAGCTTCAGGATTGAGGCAGGCTGCGGGCCTTGAGGCTGATGTTCTTTCTGCCCACCATAAACCATAGACATCCAGCAAACTGCTCCATCCTGCCTGGAAAGGCTCTAAGCTAGCCCCAGCTGCACACCTACATCCTTGCCATGATCCAAACTGCTGTAGTCACTGTCCTACTCCACCTGTCCCCCTACCCCTGCTAACACCCCACAGCCCTGCCCCCTGCCCCACTGCCCCCAGTCTTGCCTCCTTTCCTGGCTCTTTAACCCCCCTGCCTTCCCATGTCCCTAATCTGACAGTTGAACCTCTGCAAGCCTAAGGGTGATAGTGACTGCATCAGGTATCCTTAGAAACAGGACCTTCTCCAGCCCCGCTGGGAGGGTGGCGCAGTGCAGGTGGGTCTGATTTGCTGGGCCAAGCTGGTGAGAAGGGATGTCCCCTCACCTGTGGCCCCTCTTACTGTGTTTCAGGGTGGACAAGTCCTTCACCCCTCGCCGGAGTGTATGGTGAGTACTGGGGACTCTCAGGAGGGCCTGGGTTGCCTTGGCTGGTCCCTGCAGGTACCCCCAATCCCTTCCTACCCCTGTGATGCCAGGCCAGACCTCACCAAGCCTCCAAGCATCCTCTCAGGGCAAGGGGGTGGGCAGACCATCTTACCAGGTCTGTCCCCAGAGTACTGTTTTAGAGAGCCTTGGAGGCAGGCAAAGCAGGTTCACATCTTCACTCTGCCACTGCGTGTGTGACCTTCAGCAATTCCTTAACCTCTCTGAACCTCAGTTTTCTCATCTGTGAAATGGGGATTAAAATACCCGTTAATAGGGTGTAAAGTAAAAAGAACAAAAACAAAAACTGGACCTGACATATTGTGGGCCCTTTTGCTTAAATGCTTCCTTCCTTTTTTTCTTCTCTATTTCTTCCCACCTCGGGTGGCTCCTTGCTGGGCCAGGGTTCCCTTAGCCTTTACTGACCCTGAATCCTCTAGTTACTTCCCGTGACAGCCCTCAGAACCACCCCCGCTCCCATATTTCCTGTGTCTGGGGCTGCCCTCTCTTTGGAGGAGGAGGGAACAAGGCAACCATGTCTGGAGCTTCCCAACACCAAGAGGCAATGGGTGGAGGTGCAGCCTCACCTCGGGATACACCATAGCACCCTGATGCCCCAGCAGGCGGGTGCCTCCTGGCTTCCCTGGCATCAGCATCATGTGGGCCTGGCTGGCTGCTCCTTCTGCTGCTTCACCTCCAGCAGGAGAGCCCCCCAACTGCTCTGGCTGCTGCTTCCTGCCCCTGCTCAGGGCTTCCTGGGGTCCGTGGGTCCTGCAGAACCCCCCAGCTGCTGGGCGACTCCCATCTGGCACCATTGTCCCCACAGAGCCCTCCTGGGAAGCCAGGCCTGGGGTGGGAGGCACACAGGGTGCCTCGGCTAAGCTACCAGCCTGCCTTTCTATTTCCCTTTGATGCTCTCCATGCAACCTCAGGCCGCTTCCTCTCCCTTTCTGGGCATCGTCTCCTGCTGCTGTGCCTAGTCCATTTGAACCCCTCCTTCTGCAAGATGGTGTCCTATGCTCAGAGCAGGGGCAGACTGAGTGGGGGATACAGGCAGAAGTGAGGAAGGTGCCATCCTTTCCTTCAGGGAGTTCAGTAATAACACCACTGACAACTGCTACTTGTTGGGCACATGCTCTCTACTGGGTACTGCACTAGGTGCCCGACATGTGTTATCTCATGTAACTTTGACCATACCTCAGAGTTAGGGACTATTATCTCTAATTACAGGTAAGAACAATGAAGCCCAGCGTGGGGAAATGAGTTGCCCAAGGTCACACAAGCAGTTGGGATTTGAACCTTGATCTTCCAGACCCTGTGCAGAGCCCAGAGCCTCACCTACTCTGTCCCAGGGCCACCAGGCCACTGGGACGGTCTGAACAAAGGATGCGCTTGAGGGAAGACTCAGAGACAGGGGCCACCCAGAAGGCCCACTCTAGGGAGCCCTAAGCCAAGAGTTAGAGTTGACAGCCCAGGACTGATTGTAACTGGCCAGCTGTGTGACTTTGGGTGAGCCCCATCCCCTCTCTGGGCTTCAGTTGACCCATCTATCAAGTAAAGATTGGCCATTCCCCCAGGACACGCCCCATTACCCAAAATGCCTTGCCTGTGCCCTCCTTGCTGGAGCCGCTGTCCAAGGTGCTAACCGTAGGCCCTCCCTTCCCAGCTGCCAAAGGCCATCGCTTACCTCCAGTCCATGCTTGGCATATGGTTAGTGCTCAGTCAGTGGTGGCCATTTTGTCCATTAATCATGATCTTCCGGCACTCAAGGCCTGTCTCCACCTCCTTTTCTAGTTTGGGGCTTGCTTCTCCCGTGCCCTGTATTTCTGATCAACGGGAACATGGGCCCAGTCAGCATCACCTCCCCTTGATGTCCCTCCACTTCCATTTCCACAGGCCTTCGCCACACCTCCAGCCCACCTTTGTCACCATTTGTTGAGTGTTTTCTTTCTTGATCCCCACACCCCTATTCCCTCTTTAGAATGCCTCCTCTGCTGCTATAGAGCACGCATTCGTGAATCTTCCTGGGGTAGGGGGAAGAGCATGGACTTCAGAGTCTGACAGGGGTGGACTGGAATCTGCCTCTGCCACATTCTAGTTGTGTGACTTTGGCAAGTCATTTTCCCTCTCTGGGCCGCACTTGCTCCTCAACATGTGCTCGTTGAATAGGGCATTTCCGGAAGTTGACTTCAGGTGAGCTGCATGTGTTCATATAACCCGGCAGTGCAGGGCAGGCTCTGAACTCCTTGAAAGCAGAGGTGCTTCAGTCACTTTTTGTTTTTTTGGAGACAGGGTCTCATTCTGTCATCCAGGCTGGAGTGTAGTGGTGCAATCTCTGCTCACTGCAACCTCCACCTCCTGGGTTCAGGTGAATCTCTTGCTTCAGCCTCCTGAGTAGCTGGGACCACAGGTGTGTGCCATCACTCCTGGGTAATTATTTTTGTATTTTTAGACAAGGTCTCACCATGTTGGCCAGTCTGGTCTTGAACTCCTGAGCTCAAGTGATCCTCCCACCTCGGCCTCCCACTGAGTTACATTTGAGCTCAACTTAGCCCCACTTTCTCCCATAAAGGCCAGGCTGTACTTTTCTCATGTCTCTGTCCTCCACATGGTCTTGTACAACTACCACGCCCATAAATGCTTAATGCTTGTGGAACTGAATTGAATGTGTTCAGGGAGGGGAATGAGTAAAACCTTGTCAGTAGTCTGGGAAGGCTTCCTGGAGGAGGTGATTTCCCCCCACCCCTTTACAAAACAGGATTAAGAGGTTAGAACTTGGATTAAGGGAGCAGTGAGTCCTAGTAGAGGCCAGATGTGATCATGGCTAAGTTCCCCTACGCACCCCCAACCCCTCTCAGCAGGTTGTCTGCAGTGGGGGACCTCAGAGTAGGTGTGCAGATGCAAGAGGAAGGAGGCCCAGTGTGAGGGTTGGGAGCCAGTGGGACAGTGGGTGACTCTGATTCTGCAGCCCTAAGGGACCCAGATGTCCTAGAATGGGGGCTGGACATTTAAAGTGTATTCAAATGGATGGTGGGAGGTGGAGCGGTGTCAGGGTAGAGGAATGGCCAAGTGAACTAGCCCAAGGCAGGAGGGTTCTAAAAATACCTCTGGGAAGGGAAGAGTCAACTTTGGCCTTAAAACTAGGAGCCTGGGAGGTGGAGGCAGAACCCAGCAAGGATTAAGAGCTGACAATGTGCCAGGCATTTTACTCTGGAGGTCTCATTAAATCATGGCATCGTTCCTGCAGTTTGGCCTGTTGTTCCCAGTTTAGAGGCCAAAACCAGGGCTGAGAGTGGTGGAGGCTTTGGCTCAAAGTCACAGCTGGTGAGGGCTGGATTTGAATCCAGCTCTTTCTTCTGCTGAGGAAGGGATGTTGGTCAGAGACAGGGAAGCTGCAGAAATGGGGAAAGTCTTGAATACGAGGCAAGGGAAGAGCGGGGAGTGATGTAGCCCTGAGTGCCACCCAAACAGGAGTCACTGCTCAGTCCATGTGTCCTACTGGGAAGGCCCTTCTGGTTGGTGAGATGTTTCCTGTTAACAGAATTGGTACCAGTTGCTCCCATATGTGGAGCACTTCCTGTATCCCAGGCCCTGGGCCCAGCACTTCCCTGAATCATTTCATTCCATCCTGACACCAGCCTTACAGAATACTATCCGTCTCTTACTACTGTCCATCCCCATTTTACAGATGAGGAAACTGAGGCTTAGAGAGAGGAAGCGGTGGCCCAGGGACATGCAGTCAGTGAGGGGCAAACCAAGACTGACAGTGGTGCCACTCTGAGGCCATGCCTTTAGCCCTTGATCTCCTGGATGCTGCTTGTGCTAAGTGGTAGGCTGGGGTGGGTGGCCCTGTCCTCAGGTGGCTCCTTGTGGCGATTACTGAGCCAGAGGCCCTGGGGCCTGTGTGCTGTTGCAGGAAGCACGAGGCTGGCCTCATTAGTGGCTCTGAAATGCCAAGCAGGCACGTCCCGCTGGGCCTCCTCATCTATTATGCATCTGGTGGGCAGGCCCCCGGCGGGCAGCTGGCAGTGCATGGGATGCGGGAGCTAGCAGCTGCTTCCTGAGCCCATGGCCGCCGCTGTACCTCTGGGCAGGGATCTCCCAAGGCAAATGCCAAGGCCTCCTGCCTCATCCCCTTGGCCCAGCCAGGGTAAGGGGGTTCTACTGGGGGCAGGGACATGGATGCTGGTCCCCAGCTCATAAGCCTGGCTATCCTAGCAGCCACTTCTCTTTATTTTATTTTTATTTTTATTTTTATTTTTTGAGACAGGGTCTCACACTGTCACCCAGTCTGGAGTGCAGTGGGGCAATCTCAGCTCACTGCAGCCTCGACCTCCTGGGCTCAAGCGATCCTCCTCCCTCAGCCTCCCAAAGTGCTAGGATTACAGGCATGAGCCACTGTGCCCAGCTGCTAACAGCCACTTCTAAGAGAGGCTGAGACTTCAATTGAGCTGGGGGTCATTTGGGACCAGAGTGGGCAGAGGTGGGCTGAAATAGAATCTTCAATGCCCAAGCTCCTGGCTGCAGAGAGCGTCAGAGCAATAGAGCTGTGGTCATTTGTTCATCATTTATTCATCCAGCCTCAGTAACCACTGAACACCTACTGTAGGCCAGGCATGGTTTTAGTTACTGCAGATTCAGCAGAAAACGAGACAGGCCTAGCCCCTATCCTCAGAGAGCTTGGTTTGGGCAGTACTTCACTTCTCTGAACCTAGATTTCCTCATCTGTAAAATCGGGAATGGGAAGGCAGACTATAAGTAAATAGACAAGGAAATAACCTCTGATGGGTACACTGAATTTCTTTTTCTTTTTTGTTTTGAGACAGAGTCTCGCTCTGTTGCCCAGGCTGGGGTGCAGTGGCGCCATCTTGGCTCACTGCAACCTCCACCTCCCGGGTTTAAGCAGTTCTCTGCCTCAGCCTCCTGAGTAGCTGGGATTACAGGTGTCCGTCACCACGCCCAGC